GGGCTATATTATATCTGAGTCTCTGAAATACTCTCTGGTCATCTTATTTATATTTAACTGTTTTTAATGCCTATTTAAGATGTATTTTCATTATCTGAACACTGTTTAGGGTCACACTTGTGAGATGGGTAGGCATAGATATATGATGAAGACATAAATAAATAAATAATCTTGGATTGTGATATTCAGCAGAAAAGTCAACACTGGGAGTTGTGACCATCTGGAGGGTTTCAATCAATTTGAGGGAGCATCTCCATTTTTCTTTTTTCAGATCCAAAGTGGAAACACTTTTCCATTCACTGTGCTTTCCCTGCAACATGATAGAGTTTCTCCTTGCTTCTTCAGGCACGCTAGAAGCCCTGTTCCTTCTCACTCTGGGCTTCACCTATGCAAGCTTGCAAAGGGCAGTTGAAGTACCACAACATTTCCTATGCTACTTTAGGTTAAAATGTCATTATTAAAATAAACACATTTTTGTTTCTTGTACCCTTATAATCCCAATGGAAACATTTGTTCTAGAAATGGGGCCTGTCATGCAAATTAATTTATAATTTGGTAGCCGTGGTCCAACAAAGCCGGAGAATCCCTGCTCTAGGATGCCAGAAATAACTGCAGTAATTGAAAGAGAAATACAGCATGGTACATCTCTGCAAGAGATTGGGGTTTGGCTGAATTTTGTGCTGCTTTCAATTTTTTCTCCTTGTTCTTTATTAAGAATAAGGTTTTATCAGTAGTCCTCAGCTAATGGGACAGGCAACTCCATTGCTAAGCAATGCAGTCATTAAACAAAATATCAGGTGACAGTGACTTGCAATTTTATTGCTGGCTTCTCCGGTGACTTTGTTTGTTGCTAGCAGTTAAACACCAGGTCTCAAATCCCTAATTGCTACCCACACTGACACCAAACAACACCAGTTCAATTGGAGGAACACTAAAATCATCAGCCACACTACCACCCGCCATGCTCGGGAGTTCATCGAAGCCTGGCACTCCATAAGCAATTCCATCAACAGACATATTGATCTACAACCATATTAATCTGAACCCCCTCAGAATCCAAATCAATCGAACAGCCATCTGGAGACAGCACCAACCCTCAAGTCCTCCTCTTCCCCCCCCCCCCAGGCAGTTCACCTTCCAATGACCCTGCTCTGATATAATCTCTCCATCACAAGACCCATTACCAGCCTCCCACTGATGATTCACTCCTGACCCATTGATTCACACCCTTCCATGACCCTCACCTGAAGTACCTCCCTATCACAAGTCTCTCGCTGATGACTCACACCTGGCCCATCACAAGGCCCTCACTTCCCACACCTGAAGCCCTTATATAAGTAGAACTCTGACACAGATATTTCCTAAATTCTGCTGAAGACGTTACCTACCCTGGTAATGAAATGTTCGGAAACCAACCCTCAAGCTTGGAGAATGAACCTTCACCCTCATCCTACAGCCGAGCTACAAATATTCGCCACTATTGCAGACCTTTCTGTTGCATATGGTCAATTGATATATTGTTCTGGTTAAGATCAAGTTGAGTGGTTTTTGTTTTGTTCTTGGGAGCAAGTGTGTGTGTGTGTGTGGGGGGGGGAATGATCTGGTAGGTATATTATAAAAACACTAGAATCTGTCCTTTTCTTGCTATGCATGTGTATAACACGCCCTGCCTATTTGTAATGGAAACACAAGGAGAGAACACCACATCAACATTAGGATGGTTATATTGTTTTATAACATGGTTGTAGTTTATTTTACTTCATGGGATTTTAATGGACCACTGTAGAGTTCAGTGGCAGTAATTACTTCAGCTCAGTCAATCTGGAGTATTACTGGTTAGGCTGATGCAACACATTAAACCAGTGTTTTAGCTTGCTTTACTGAACTCATTCAGTATAGTTCGTAAATGATGAATAATACAATTTAGCATGTGGTATAAACACTGCTGGTTGTGGTTTATGCAATAAGCCTTTGTTGAAGGGAAAAAAGGTTGTTTATTCACACCCAAGTATTATATACAGGCTGTCTGATCACAGACACATTTCACTATTTATTATTTGTATATACTGCCAAGTCCATACAGGCTTTCTCATGGCAGCAAGAGCCTACCCTCCTGTTAGAGTAAGATAGGAATTCCCAAGAGAATTACTGAAAAACTACTTGCAACCTTATCATGACTGGTGCCTGTGCTACTCTGAGCCAACTGGATTTGGGTGGCATTTCAGACCCAATGGATACAGCAAGCAATGGAGGTTCTGCATGGAATAGCTCAAAGATAATTGATAAAAAAGATAAATCACAGTCTTATAACTCTCAGAAATTAGTGAAGTGACAAAAATCTCATTCTTTTCAAAACTGACTAATCTTTAAACAATCAGTAAGGCTTATTTCTACACCTAAGTACTATCGATAGACAGTCAAGGCAGTAATAATTCAATGGTCTACATTGTGTTACGGCTAAATTGGAAAAAGAATAACATCTGTTTATCTTATCCTTTTTGAGGATTCACCTTTTCCTCATAAACAAATTCTTTCTTCCTAGGTTTATCAATAGCCCTCTTATTTTGAAAAATAAAAATACTCTTATTTGACATATTTTTAATTTTGTAAAATGTAAGCCAGGTGAAGCTACTATAAATATTTATATAGGTATCTCAAGCAGTTTATCAGATATGAGTTATATCACCCTAACCCCTTTTTTTATCAATAGCAAATGAAAATATTGGGAAAAGAATGCCAAAAACATTACATTAAAAAGCTTCTTGATGGAAATATAACACGTTTGGGAAGAAGAATGGAAAAGCACATACATTTTGGAAATGGCCATGAGAATTATATTGTAATTCCATTTTCATTTATTTTTATGCATAACAACATGAAGGAGGAAAATGCCTGTTTCAACAGATTCACCATTTTCTGAAATTGTCACAATGCTATTTCTCATGACATCAGTATTACAAGCATTCGTAAACCATCTATGTCAAATGCCACTAGTTGCTGAAATGGCAATTGTGGGTAAAGGCAATTTAGAACAGGAGGGCAATGAAAAAAAATTGTTGAATGTTATGACCAATTCAAACATGTAGAGAAGGAAGCCACAATAAGAAATAAGGAGGGGGGAATCACTTCTCTAGCAGTTTGTTGGGCTGCATTTTATGAGCTAGTTTGGATGAATATTACAAGTAAGGAACAAATAGCACAATCTCACTTTTTAAGTGAACCTCTTAAGTGTCTACATGGGAAAATGTTACAGAGTTTTATTATCCATGTAATTTTATTCCTGACAAGTTTATGAACTTCATTAGAGAGAAATCTAGAATACTTCATCCACATTTTATTGGAATAACTCCTACTAGGATATTATTTTTCCATGAAATGTTTTAGGTATTGTTTTAAAAGATGATGATGTATACTTTGCTCATTTCTCTTTAATTTTAATCACATTTCTTCTGGTTTAACAGAGCTGGAAGGGACCTTGGATGTTTTCTAGTCCAATCCTCGGCTTAAGCAGGAGAACCTATACCACGGGTATCAAACTCGCCGCATCACATGACAAGTCGCGACGTATCATAACTTTTTTCGCATTGCCGGAGCTGGGGTGGGCGTGGCTCTGCATGATGCAACCGGCCCAGGTGCCGGCAGTTTGACATCCCTGCCCTATACCATTTAAGACAAATGGCTAGCCAGTATCTTCTTAAAAATCTCCAGTGATGGAGCACCCACAACTTTTGAAGGAAAACCGTTTCACTGGTTAATTGTTCTCACTGTTAGGAACTTTCTCCTTAGTTTTAGGTTGCTTCTCTCTTTGATTAGCTTCCATCCATTGCTTCTTGTCTTGCCTTCTATTGCTTTGGAGAATAAGTTGACATCTCCCCCTCTTCTTTGTGGCAGCCCCTCAAATATTGGATTATTTTTACTATTTTTATTAAATGTTAATTATTAAATATTGCTGAGGCTAATTCAAAATGAACATTTACCCAGGTTTCACTGAGAGTGTTCTACTGCTCCACTAACAGGGAATGTTGATAATGACAAGCAGTGGTGGGATTCAGATACGTGAACAACTGATTTTCTGTGTGGATGCCGCTTCCGGAAGTCCATTCTGGGCCTGAGCAACAAAAAAATTGCTACCGGTTCTGCTGAAGTGGTGCAAACCGGCTGAAACCCACCACTGATGACAAGGCTAAAGTGCCTTTGAGTTAAGTTTGACTCCTGTTGACTCCAGGAACACATCCATCTTGTTTTCCTAGCAAAAGTACTGCAAACCACTTATAAATATCAGTTGTATCCAGTGGACTAGCAAGTTCTATAAACAAGACTCTGGAACAACTATGGGACCATCATTGTCATTCCTTTTTGAGGAAGACTTGTAGAAGACAGTTTTAGAATAGTCATCTAAGAGTTGTGTGTGTGTGTGTGTGTGTGTGTGTGTGTGTGTGTGTGTATGAAACTTTCATTATTTTGCAGTATAAAAAGGAAGAGATTATGAAATTTCTTTATGACTTAAACAAATGAGATGCAGTTCTTATGCTTGAACATCATTATTGAACATTGTTTAAGCTCTACGCATTTCTGTTTTGCTCATTCACTCTTATGAGCAAGAAGAGCCAAAAAGACCTGTTCAATAGTAGGATAATTTGCAATAAAGAGGGGCAAGGCAATAACAGTAGGAAATCATGTAATATGACAGGAAATGTAGAAAATATAAAAAGAGATGTTTTCTTCTAAAGCCTTTTAACTTTCCATACATGGGAAATGATTTCCATGTTTTCATTCTATGGGCATAAGACCTAATCAACTGAATAAGAAAACAAAATATGAAACAGTTTGTTCAGTTTTAGAATCAATATTTTAATTTCCATTATGGAAGCTAAGGAGTTAATTGGGGGGAATCTAACATCCATTTCAGCAGAATGACAAAGGAAAAGATACAATAAAAGGAAAAGATCTGGTTCCTGTATTGCCAAGACTACCCATCAGCATTCTTCAAGCTGACTTACCTAACATCTGTACAGGTTATACATGAGATGTACCGAGTATTTGTTGTAATGAGGTTCAGCGGCACAGATGTCTCACTGTCAGAGGTTGGGTGTGCTCCACATTTAAAGTAGAATTCCTACAATATTGAAGAAGAGATAAAAGGAGGATTACATATCTGTACCTCATGTCCTCTCTTTATCTAAGTCTAAGTGAAGTTTGAGGCAGTAGATAAATCACTAATGTCAGTAGAAAAGGAGGATACCCATTAAGAGTGGTTAGAAAGAATGCCACACAGTATTTTTGTATAAGATGTTTAGGTAGCTCTTCAGATATCAGCTGAGAGAAAAAGTCCATTTGTACTTCTATTCATTCTGTACAATTATCTCTTCTTCATTAAAGGAGAAAAATGAATGGACAAGAGACAGGAACAGGCTCTTGGAACTTCCATATTGCATGCAGTAAGTATTTGATTGGAGTGAAGTAATTGCTACCATCCAAATGTTCCTCAAAATAACAATATGGTAAAGAGAACAATTTTTACTGAAATCTATTGTACGTTAATTTTAGTCTGCTGTCTCCAAACATGTTAATATTGCCAAAAGCCAGGTTTTGCCAAATTCCCAGGCTGGGAATTCTCAAACTTCAGCCTTAACATAATCAGAGGAGATCAACCTGTGGAAGACAAATCTAGATCTTCTAGTTCAAGGTCTCTGATGTCATTAAAAAGCTGGCAATCTCACACACAGACACAAACACACACACAGAGAGAGAGAGAGAGAGAGAGAGAGAGAGAGAGAGAGAGAGAGAGAGAGAGAGAGAGAGAAAGTATTATGTATGTTTGTGTATGTGTATATGCATGTGTAAGTCTATATGTGTATAAATACAGATATACACAGTGTATGTGAGTGTGTATGTGTGTGTGTGTGTGTATAGGAGATTAGGAAGGCAGCTCATATAGCCTCCTGCCTCTGCACCTGGCTCCTTGAGCGCGTCATCGGTCCGTTGATTGTGTTAATGCATATCGCACAGAGTTGTTCCACATCAGGCAAACTGTCTTTGACTCCACTGGTTGTTTTACGATCCTCAAGTGCTCTTTTAGAGTGTGTGCAAGCACTTGGGGGGCAGCTGTCAATCCGTCCCTGAGCCCAGTCCCCCTCCCTCCCTCCAAGTGCTTGCACACACTGCCCTTCAAGTGCTTGCACACGCTCTAAAAGAGCACTTGAGGATCGTAAAACAACCAGTGGAGTCAAAGACAGTTTGCCTGATGCAGAACAACTCAGTGTGATAAGGATTAACACAATCAACGGGCTGATGACACGCTCAAGGAGCCGGGCGCAGAGGCAGGAGGCTATATGAACTGCCTTCCCAATCTCCTGCTATTCTAACTCTGATGACACCGGCAGTTTTTTGGCCGGACGAAAGCTTAGTGACTCTTCTTAACCACAGGCTTGTTTATATTAAACAGGCTGGTTTATTATATCCTGGTGTTCGTTTTTTCTTGTATTTGTTAACATAATGCCCAGGATTCACATTTTTAGTATTTTAATATACATATACATACATACATACATACACACACACACACACACACACACACACATGCTGACCGACGAAAGCTCAGCATTTTATTAAACAGTTTTTTAGTTTGATATTATCCTGGTGTTCGCGTTTATTTGTTTTAATATATATATATATATATATATATATATATATATATATATATATATATATATATATATATATATATATGTAGGTCTTTGTTGTTCGGGTTTTCTCCCACGTAAAATTGGAAGTGTCTTGGCGACGTTTCGACGAAGTCCCATTCGTCATCTTCAGGCTGGTGTTTCAGCTTCGTGCTTCGAGCAGCAATGTGTGGTCTTAGCTGTTTCTTCCTTTTAACTGCCAGTGGGGGTATGAACTGATTGGGTGGGAGCTTGGCTGTGTTCTGATTGGGTGGAGGTGTGTTCTGATGGTTAGGGGCTTGGCTGTGCTCTGATTGGCTGGGGGGTTGGCTGTGCTCTGATTGGCTGGGGGGTTGGCTGTGCTCTGATTGGCTGGGGGAGTGTTCTGTTTGGTTGTGCTCAGGTTAGTCTGAGTTGCAGAGGGGTTTAAGATTTTGGGCTGCCTTGCTATTTTTTGGCTTCGCGTTTGTGGTCGTGCCTCATTTTCATGGAGGGTGTCAGTTTGCTTCATGTATGGATTGGAGGGCTTTAAAGTGGCTAATGATGCAGCTCTGGTCTGGCTTCTGGTTTGTGGTCGTGCCTCATCATCGGTGTGGCTTTGGGTTTGCTTTTTGCATGGATGTGTGGTGGTGACATCCTGTGTGGTTTTTGTGAGTGTGGGTCTGGTATCATTTTTTGTGTTAGGGAGTCGTTTGTCAATAAGGGCGGGTTTCCAAATGGCTGGTAGGCGGGAGGTATCATCTCGCTTGTTCATGCTGTGTGGGCGTTTTTCTATCTCGATGGCTTCTCTGATTATTCTGTTATTAAAATGTTCACTTTTGGCAATGGTTCTGGTATTTTTAAAGTCAGGCACGACCACAATATATAGGTAGGTCTTTGGTTGTTCGGGTTTTCTCCCGCGTAAAATTGGAAGTGTCTTGGCGACGTTTCGACGAAATCCCATTCGTCATCTTCAGGCTGGTGTTTTCAGCTTCGTGCTTCGAGCAGCAAAGCACGAAACGGAAAACACCAGCCTGAAGATGACGAATGGAACTTTGTCGAAACGTCGCCAAGACACTTCCAATTTTACGCGGGAGAAAACCCGAACAACCAAAGACCTACATACAAACACCCGCGAAAACCTCAGAAAACATATATATATATATATATATATATATATTCAAAAGATAAAAACGAGCACCAGGAGGTAAAACAATTAAATGTTTAATAAATAAATAACCTAGCTTTCGATGGCTATATTGCTGCCATCATCGTCAGGGTGTTAAAAGCCAGAGGGTGGGGGAGCTCATTTATAAGCATAAATGTGCCTGCACACGGCTCATAGACCTCGTTATGGGGCCCGGTCGATTGATCCTCTCATCACTCATGTCAGAAGTATTTCTGAGTTCTAAGTTCTTGCAGCTAGTTACTTCTCTGTTGCATGCGGCTCCTAGACTGGGAGGCGAGCATTCCATGTCACTACGCACTAGAGTAACATGTGTAACTGCAGACCGATCCTGCGATGAAATCCCAGATCTGGCTATCTTCCTCCCCCGTGTCTGATGTATCACTCTCAGGGGGCATGCCATCCCATGCGTGCTCCCATCTTCCCCTATAGCCCCCAACCCGCCGCCCTTTGTTAGGTTGCTAACAAAGAATAAAGAGAGAACTGGTATAGCTATTTCGAGTTCCATTAACTCTCTTCAGCCAGACTTACTCTTCTGAGATTCGAACCTGGGCTTATCTGCATGTTAGGCAGTTGTTATAACCTCTAAGACACAGGCTCTCTCCCACTCTGTTAGCTATCAGGAGAGAGACAGAAGATTTCTTTCTCCCATATTTGGGCTGACAGGGTGTACATTCAAGGTAAAAATCTCCTCTCCCTGTCTCTCTCCTGATAGCTAACAGAGTGGGAGAGAGCCTGTGGCTTAGAGGTTATAACAACTGCCTAACATGCAGATAAGCCCAGGTTCGAATCTCAGAAGAGTAAGTCTGGCTGAAGAGAGTTAATGGAACTCGAAATAGCTATACCAGTTCTCTCTTTATTCTTTGTTAGCAACCTAAAAAATGTAAAATGATGTCGCAGTTGGCGACTGCTGCTTGTGGATGGCTCTAGATTGAGCTGATACAGGCAAAAGAAAAAGAAAAAGAAAGAAGATTTCTTTCTCCCATATTTGGGCTGACAGGGTGTACATTCAAGGTAATATATATATATTAAATATATATATATAATATATATATATTAAAACAAATAAATGCGAACACCAGGATAATATCAAACTAAAAAACTGTTTAATAAAATGCTGAGCTTTCGTCAGTCAGCCTTCCTTCCACTCGCTTCCTTCCACGCACAAAGGAAGCGAGTGGCCAAAAAAAAGGGGGGGGGGAAGGAGAATGGCAGCTTTGGGAATCAATGGTGGGATAACAGACGGCGATGTGTACGAGGAGGAGGGGGGTTATTGGAGGAAGAGAAGTGGATAATGGAATAGCAGCCTTGAAAAACACCAAGGAAACAACCAATGCGTGCCCCCTAGGAATTAAACAATTAAGGATGTTGGATGGACCGATGACTAGGTCCAGGAGCCGTGTGCAAAACCGGCCAGTTCTATAAAAAGGGACTCCCATTGACCTATTCTTATGCTCTGATGATGTCGGTAGTCCTGACCAATGAAAGCTCAGCATTTTATTAAACAGTTTTTTAGTTTGATATTATCCTGGTGTTTGCGTTTATTTGTTTTACTATATGGCTTTACCCAGGATTCGAATTTTTAACTAAATTATATATATATATATATATATATATAATATATAAGAAGATTTCTTTCTCCCATATTTGGGCCGACAGGGTGCATCAAAAAACACTCAAGGTAAATCTCCTCCCCCTGTCACTTCCCTCCCTGATACAGCTGACAAAGTGAGAAAGAGCCTGTGGCCTAGAGGTTAATACAGCTGCCTAACATGCACACAGCCCAGGTTCGAATCTCAGAAGGGTATGTCTGGCTGAAGAGAGTTAAGAAGCTCTCCCTTTATTCTTTGTTCTCCCTTTATTCTTTGTTAGCAATATATATATATATATATATATATATATATATATATATATATATATATATATATTCTGAGGTTGTTTGTATGTAGGTCTTTGGTTATTCGGGTTTTCTCCCGCGAGGAGCACGAAGCTGAAAACACCAGCCTGAAGGTGACAAATGGGACTTCGTCGAAACATCGCCAAGACACTTCCAATTTTACGCGGGAGAAAACCTGAATAACCAAAGATATATATGTGTGTGTGTGTGTGTGTGTGTGTGTGTGTGTGTGTGTGTATTAATGCATAGCTCATAAAGCATAATACATAATCCTTTAAACATCTTTAAATTGCTGCTCTTTAACTGTGTGTTAAGGTACCTAAAGAAACCACTAGCACCGAGAAAGTATATACAAACATAATTTGAAATCTGCATGGAGGAAGTAGGAAGAC